GAAAGCACCACCTCCCATGGAAGTCTATTCCATGTTTTGGCAACCCTCACCATAAAGATTTTCTTCCTGATATCCGATCTAAATCTGCTCTCCTTTAGTTTGTGGCCATTTATTTCTAGAAACCCCGAGGTGTGCCCTGATAAACAGAGTATCCCTTATTCCCTGCTGACCCCCGCAATGAGTTTGTAGACAGCCACAAGATCACCTCTCAGCCTTCTCTTGCGGACACTGAAGAGATTTAGGTCCCTCAGTCTGTCTTCATAGGATCTTACCCGCAGGCCCTCAACTATTCAAGTATCCGTTCTCTGAGCCCCCTCAAGGTTATCCACATCCCTCTTGAAGTGCGGCACCCAGTACTGGACGCAGTACTCCAACTGCGGCCTGACCAATGCCACATAGAGGGGAAGTATCACCTCCCTAGACCAGCTCATGATGCACCTACTAATGCAAGAAAGAGTGCGGTTAGCTTTACTTGTTACCTTGTCACATAACCTCGTGGTTTATGGTCATCTCAAGTAGGCTTGAGATTCCACGTTTCCTGTGCCAGGCTTAGATCGTTACCCTTTCAGTGCTGGGGCAGCCTCCTACTCCCGCAATGAACACTTCCCTTCCTCCAACCCCAGCTCCTGCAGAGAGCATATGCAAGACCCATCTTCTGCTTCAGGTGTCTGAGTTTCATGACTTCACCATGGAGGTACTGGGACTCTGTGTCCACCCTCAGGTGAGAAGCCCTGTCATTCAAACAAGGGACTTCGGTACTCCAACAGGCAAGAGCTGTCTGAGCGGTCAAAGGCCTTGCTGGGAAATGTTTGTCAGCCTTGTTCTGCCCTCCCATCCATCCATCCATCCTCAGGTAGGTGCTGTAAGTACCAATATCAAAATGCTTTTCCCAAGAGCGATTATACCCATTTCCTAAACCAAGTAAGTTCTATCACCAAAACCACATTTTGCTGGTATAACTGCATTTAGGCTAGGACTCTCGCTTACTGTAATATGTGCAACTCCCTGGCCAGTGTTTCCAGCAAAGACATTAAGTGTTTGGGCTGGCCGTGGTGTCCCTGGCTCATGAGAGAAAGTTGATTAACTTATCATGTGTTATGCTGGGTGTGAACAGCGTCAGTAGGGGCAAGAGGAAGTCATGTCCTTGCTTTAAACTCAAACCACCACATTGGTGGGAATGAAGATGGCCAGCTTGACCCAAGTGAGAGAACGGGATGTGCCTTGAGCTGCCATCCTCCAGGCATGGGTAATGAAAGCATTTGCAGGCAGAGCTGCTGCAGTATAACTGCTGCACTGTCTGATCTCTACCTACCACTACCGGCCCCCTTCTTAATGTTCCTCTCTACAAAGCAGCTCTCGCCTCCTGACAGCTAGACATTCCTAGGATGCTTGTTGGAGAAGGCTTTTGTTACTCTGCTTTATTCCTGACAAATATTTCTGAGCGCCAGCAGGCAAAACTCGTTCAGCAGTTCTTGTGAAGGGAGGACAAGAAGGCAAGACCTGCTATGGACCACTTGCAAAAGCAGATAAGACTCTTACATGCCAACGGCTGTACACTTTTTACTTTTCAACAAGCCCAGATGCTTGTTGGGGCAACAAGAGGAAAGCAGCAGTATGGGTGGAAAGAGGAAGGGCGGTCCTCCTGCTTGGTGCTGGAAGCTCCCAAACCTTTCAGCTTCTCCACCAGAATGGGGTGTTTTTACTTCTGCCCTTTGTGCATTCCCGTGGATAGCTATTAAACAGAACTATCAGGGATGTATCCCCCAGCATCTCCAATAATGGTGGATGCAAGGAAGGTACAACAGGGTGGATCACTCTAAATATGCCCTGGCCATATGCTCTCCCGCTAACGCATCCACTACTAACAACATCGGAGACAAGATAGCAGGAGATTGCTTTGACCCAGTTTAGCACTTGTTACATTATGTACCCCACCTGTGTGCTGGCCCTTGCTTGGTGTAGCAGGCTGGCAATCCCCAACTTTTCTGCAAACTTTTGAATTGGCTAAAAAAGAAAGGAGGTGCTTTTCTCCTATGACTTTCTCTGCGTGCAGTTTGAGCGCCATCCCCTCCTTTCACCTGATTTCCATTACAGGATATTGAATTGCATGCTAGAACAAAACAAATAGGCCCTGAGCCTAATTAGAAAACGCAACAAATAATTCTTTATTTGCTGATTAACAAAAGAACTAACTAGCAGACACGGCACTGGATGTTTGTAGGTGACTTCTGTTGGTCCAGTGAACTAGGATGGCAGGATCAAGAGGCTCTTGTCTACCTACAGAGCTGGTCTGTGTAGTGGAGAAGAGGGATACAGCACTTGCTCTTTTTCTTAAGGAGAAAACCAGGTGTTGCTGCCATTTTGAGTTCTGAACAATCTTGTGCAATGATGGAATCGGTCTGGTAGGAATGATTTGCCACCTGTGATTCTTGGGACCCATTATAGCAGTAGCTTTGATTTTTGCTAGATCAGATCCATGCGTGTATCTTTCTTAATGGATCTATTTATATAACTACCCCTGTAACCAGGCAGGGGTGGCTGAAGGGAATTGCCTCTCCAGTCTGCGGTGGAGTTGTCTCCTTGCTGTGCTTTTCAGAGATGGTTCAGTTACAAGTCATTTTGCGCTCTCTACCAGGCCTTATATGCTGCATTTTTGATAGCATCCCTTGTGCTGGGTTGGAAGCTGGCGCTCTGTTTTGTTGGAACAGGGACACCCATCATTGGCCACCTACTACATCAGCTCTTGGACTTCCATCACTTGTCAACCCGTCCCGTCAGGAGGGCAAGGATGAGGGGGAGGCTTGCCGTAGCCTAGCAGAGCTGTCTGTATCTCGACCTATTTACACCACATGCACATGTGCACAGATCACACTTAGTGTGTCTCAGCAGAACATGACTGAGCAACTAGCATGAGAAGATATGGATGGTTTTTGTCAGCAGTGAGAGATGCATCAGCCACAGCAGAGTATGGTCCTGCCTCATGTCAAAGGCTCCAAGGCCCCTAATAATGAAAGGGGAAATAGAGGGAATCAATTAATCGACCCCTGCTATGCTGCTTCTCAAGTAATATTTCCCCCTCTCAAATGGGCTAACCTGCTGTTGCGGCTCGGTTGCTAGCACTGTTGCCTTGAAAGCTGGTAGCTAGAAGAGAGGGCTAAGGGATGCTCTTGGCAGGGACCAACTCAGCGCTTATCAAACCTGCTTACTGGGCGTTGCGTTGGAGAAGATAAAGTGGCATTTGCTACATTCCTGATGATTTTGGTTCCTCCTGTGCAATTGCAGTGGGTCTTATGGGGTTTGGACCAGTTAGGATGTCCAATACAACAGAGCTTGGGCCAGTCTCTAGCTGCTGGTTAAAAGGCAGCCAGGCAGAGTGCCAGGCACAACAGAGCTATGGAGGTCTTAAGCGTCTGCTGGTTGTTGCAAGGGATGGCATAAGGTCTGGAATATTGCCTGAGAAGCATCCAAGTTTGGAGGGGGAAGCGGGGAAGGGGGTGCCTCAGCACCCGCTGTTCCTGCGCATGAAGGCATGGCCCCCCACGGCGCACTGCATCTCGACGAAGGCCAATGCACCCACGGTGACCTCGCAGGGGCCCAGCACCCGGAAGCCGCACTTCTGGTAGAAGGGGACCAAGAAGTCCTCGCACATGAGCACAGCCTGCCGCACGTAGGGCAGGCAGCGCAGGTACTGCAGGTAGCGCCACATCAGGATGGAGCCCTTGCCCTGCTGGCGGAAGGTGCGGTGCACTGCCAGCACATGGATGTGGACCGTGGTGCCATGGGGCTTGTGCAGAGTCATGGCATCCTGCCGAGAGAGAGAGGGGATGGGGATAAGCATGTTAAAGGGCGGTTGTTTCTGCTGCAGTCCCCTCGGCTCAAGCACATGCAGGATGAATGTTGGCAGCTGGGTGAAGAACTCAGCTGGTGTGAGTGGGCAGTGCCACGGTCTCACAGGGGAGCAGCCCTCTTCACACCCGCTGGCATTGGTTTCTGTGAGGTGCTTGGAGGCGAGGTGCTGCCTGGATGCAGGTTAAGCAAAGGCTCAGAGCCTCCCTCCCACTATCCCTGCTTTACATATGGGGAAACTGAGGCACTGAAAGCTGAGGGCCTGACTTCATTCCCTGGCTAGCTGAGCCTTCAATTGTTGTCTTCCAGTGGCTTTGATGGGAGCAGTGCCTGCTCAGCTGTTCCTGATGATCAAGCCAGGAGAAGCCTGGACAGTTTGACAGCTAGGCAAAGAACCCAGGCGTCCTGCCTCTGTCCCCCACGACAACAGGTTAGTTCACACTCCCTTCCCAAGCAAGTCTTTATGGATTTTTTTTAATTACTTTTAACTACATGTAATTGTAATAGGGCTTTTAAAAGCTAAAACAATCACTTCTGGAAATTACTTAGCACACTTTAATAGCAAAGGCAATAAAAATAAGTGATGAGGAGACTCTCCGAGAAATTGAGTTACCCTGCAGAGATTAGCACTCCAAGAACGCTCTCTTCCTCCCCTGCTACACCCACTCTGCAGGGCTGCCAGAAATTGATTAGTTTGTAAAGTGCTTTGAAGTTGAAAAGTGCTTTATAAGCAGTAAGTGTGTTTGTCATTAAGGGAATGGCTGTGTTTACACTGCAATTAATTGTTCCCGAGGCTGGGTGAGGTCCTGTTTCAGTTGGCTGAGCGGGAGAACTGAGCTCCTGCTTCTATTTTTGCTTCTTGTTAGAAGGTTGGAGGTGTCCTGACGTCCAGACACGGGTCTGCAGCTGTTCTGGGGATGTTAAGCAACTGGGAGAGGGGAGTTATTTAGGGAAGGGGAATGGGATGTAACCGGCAATCCCAGGATGCAATGAGGGGTAAACTGAGGCCACGAAATGGAAGATGATGTCTTAACAGCAAAGTCTAATAATATGGGCTGAGCTCTGGGGAAATGGACATCCGTCTCAAAGCCTAGTTCCTCTGCTTGCTTCACCCGTCCCCGCTCCTGTGATAATAGATCTTGACATGGTCCTCAAAGCAACTGCCTCTCCACAAGCTACTGCGCTGCCTACTAGTGACAAGGGGGAAGCTTTTACACCCATCATAGCATGACCAATAATGACTTTGACCACCTGGCCCAGAGGCTGTACTCTTCTTTCCCCATGGCCAGCTTCTCTTGCAGTGTAAGCTCTTTAGGGCTGTGATTCTGCCTTCCTGTCCAGTTGTGCAAATTGCTAGAACTTGTGCAATGGGGTGCAGCCCTGCATTTGCTGGGGCAGCGGGGATGAGCCCACCTACTGCCCCCTATCTAGAAAAGCAGGGGGCCTCCATTGCTGGAGTATCCAAGTGCCTCATCATCTTCAGTGCATTTACCTTCATGAGCCCTCTGTGAGGGAAGGCAAGGCTATTATCCCCGTGTTAAGCCAGGGAAACGGAGGCATAGAGGGACAAGGTCACCTAGGAGATCTGAGGCTCAGTAGGGACTTAAGTCCCAGGGTCGAGTTCTAACCACAGCACCGTCCTCTTGGATGTCTTAGGTGAATATAATTCACTCACGTCTCTAACTTTGAAAGTGAGGCCCATGATCTGTCACTGACTGGCTTTCCAAGGAAAGCTGCAGAGCTTGATGAACTGACACCGCTGTGACCATCCCTCCACTGCGAATGTCCCCTGGCTGAGGAGCAGTCACACCTACATTTGTTGGACTCCTGTCTCCAGAGATCCATCGTTGTCCTCCTCTTGCTACCAAGCATGAAAAGCACATGGAAGAGAGAGGAGCTATTGGGATCCGCTCTTACCTGGCTGAGTTTGTCCTGGTCCCAAAGAGATCCTATAATGAAAGCGACCAGTCGGCCTTCTTCAAACCAGCCAAGTGACAGCTCTGGGCACAAGTTCAGGAAGTGTCGGATCTCATCCATGTGCAGGGGGCAATCGCCCGAAACAGATATAAATGCTGGAAAAGAACAAAAAGGCCACATGAAAAGAGAGCTAATCCACAGCGCCTCTGAGTCTGGGTGAACATCAGGCTAATTGACACTAATTTACGTAACGGGCATGAACCAGAAGCCTGGGATTGAAGGCACTTTCAAAGGCCCAGAGGGATTGGGCTAGAGGGCCTCACTCCACTCGGGACCAAACTGACTGCCAAATGGCAGGTCAGGAAGGAATTTTGCCCCCAGGTCAGACTGGCACAGACTGCGGGGAGGGGGAGGTGGGGAGGAATATCGTCTTCCTTTGCACCGAGGCATGGTCCTCTTCCAGGTTCCTCTGAGCATGAGTTAGCTTACTAGGTCTGTCTCTGCAATGGTAGTGCCCTCATGACCCTGTTTTTAGATGTAGCATGGTGTAGGGTGTTTCTGGCCTTGTGCCCTTTAGCTGTATACGAGTCTGAAGTGGCTGTCTTGGTGAATCCTTAGGCAAAAGGCTGCCTGTGCATGCAGGGGATTGAGATCAGTGGCTTCCTAGTCCTATGCTCTTAAGTCTGGAAAGTTTGGATCCAGCTCTAAACAACCTGAGCCTTTTTCTGCTTTCAGTAGAAGAAGCCAGAAGGCTTTGGGCTACCTCTTCTCATGTGCACTTCCTCAGCTACCTGCCTTTTAGAGACTGGATGCTTCACCGTTGGGACAGCAAAGCCCTCTGTTTTCCCTGCAGGACCACCCTCTGAACTGATGCCTGCTCTCTCATCCGCACAGCTCAGACCCCAGAAAAGTCCTCAACAGGATCATGAGTCCCTACTTGAACCTGTTCTGCCAGCAGTTTTCTCAGTCGTTCCTGCAGCATTAGGGCTTGGTTTCAAGCCAGGCACGAAGGTTTATGTAGCTTCACATTTCAGTTCCTGCTAATTGATATGGGGAAAACCAAACCCCGCTGGTTTAGAAATGCAATAGCTGCCAAAGCTTGATGACGGGTAATCTGGGCAGAGGTGTATGTTGTGCTCGCAAAACGTGTGACCTTCAGGAACACCTTTGCCTTCTAGCAACAGCTGGGGTAACCTGTCATTTTTGTCTGGGTCTCGGCTGAATTCCTCTTGGGAATGACTCGTCTTTGGCTGTGCAGGTTTCCTGGCACACCTTAGAAATGGTCATGAGAAGGAACAAAGGGCAAAATTAAATCCAGTACTAAGCCAGGGTGTAGCTCTGGGAGCAACACTGGATATGGCTCAGCATCTTCAGGGCTTTGAAGACTCAGAATCCTCCTAAAAATAACTGAACTCACTACAAATGTTCCTGGATCTAAGAAGCTTTTAGTCTGTGCCCTGCTGGATGCGGAGGCCAAGAAGATTATTTCATGCTAGTGAGTCTGGTCCAGATGGCTGCAATGTGCAGGAGGTACGCAGCAGGGAGGGTAGGTGACTGTTCCTGGCCCAGGTGACTCTGCCCTTGCTAGTATAGTAGGAGAAAAGGACCAAGTGCTCTCCAAGCCATTGCGAGGTGCGCATTGGCATCTGACTGCAGGAAGCCTGTCTGGGGAGCAGGTTAATGTGTCCCAAAAACATAGCTTCATGATGGGCCAAGGCGTTCCCCCACTGGCATCATTCCTAGAGGCACAAAATGGGACCCTGACATGGCCCTGAAACAGGAGTCCACCCTCTAGCCTCCTTCTTCCCAGTGACCCCAAAGTCGCCACCATCTCTGTGATTCTCTCTGGGCTTGGGGGCTGGAAGAACGGGGAGCAGTGACTGTTTTTGGAAGGGCAAAGTGAATTTTCAGACACCTCTGCGAACAGCTGGACAGCAGGTTATAATGGAGCTGACACTAGAGACTCCCCTGGTATTCCCAGCCTGGCTGGTGGCTCATTCTCTCCCTGTGTTTGACTCCATAAAGCACTTTGGGCTTCAGTTTCTGTGAAAGCCGCGGTGGTAATTCCCAGCTATTTCTCATGTGCAATTTAATTGTGTAGTCTCCAGCCCTGAGGGACATTTCCATGCCTACTCTAGCATTTTTACTAGAGGGCAGGGAAGGGCTCTAAACCTACGAAGGGGCCTGGCAAGGAAGAGCAGTCTGAGAGAGTGGTCCTTACCTTCCCTCTCGATCTCAAAGACGCTGATGGCATCCTCGGGGCTGAGGCACCGGAACTCGCTGGCCGGGAGCGTGTGTCGGCGCTGGCGTCCGGGGGAGCTGCGGGGAGACATCAGGTGAACGGGCTTCAGGAATGGCAGGGCGCTGATCACTGACATCTCCTGTCTCCTGTGCTGCTGCCCTCTGGAAATGCCTTTTGGTCACCGGCAAGTTACTATATCAGTAAATCTTCCCTGGTGCGATCAGCCAGGGGCTGGAAATACCTGCTGAGCCACAAGGGATTAGGCAGTGTGCCTTCCTTGCTCTATATATACACATACCAAGCCCTGAACGTGCTCACACAGCAGCTTGGGCAGCCCATGCAAATGTTCCTGGGCTCTTAGTCATTGGTGCTGCCTGATGTAAATGAGGTTTGACCCATCATGGCGCTGGGGCCCATGCATGGGCTGGGTTGCAGAACCAAAGCCCATCTGCCCACCATCAGAAGCGCAGGAACAATAGCCAGTGACTCAGCTACTGGAGACCTGGGTGGGAACAACAATGCACAGGGAGGAACCGTGGCTTTTAGAGGCAGCGGGGTTAAGCGGCAAGATGGGCAAGGTTAATGCGCTGACGTGAGAGAGGGACAGAACATCGTGCTCCGGTCACCAGAAAGCTGGATCTGGGGGCTGCACAAGTGCTTTTAGAGCCTGATCCTGGCCAGGGCTGAGCATTCACAAGGTGCTGTGCACCCTCTGACTGCTGCAGTTCAGAGCCCCGCAGAAGCTGCTGAGCACCGTGGAGCATTGGGCCCTCGTGCTGTCATGGCCTACTGCTTCCTGGGATACCCTTACAGGAGTCTGGGCATCCAGCAGGCTGGCTAGTCCCAGCTGGCCCTGGGTACCTGAGTGGGTCTGGCTGCCCCTGGCCTGACTACCTCCATCTGGCCCTAGTTACCTGCAGCTTCCTGCCTATAAAGAGCAGCCCTTTCAGCACCTGCTTATAAACAGCAGCCCTTTCAGCACCCTTGTTTCTCTGTCTAGCTCCAGGCTTCTGACTCCTTGTTCTCAGGTTCTGCTTGTTGTTTCCTGGTTCAAGTCTGGAGCATCTGTGTCCCGGTTGTCTCCTGACACTTGTTACCACTGAGCAATTGGCAAGCTGGACATAGAGGCCAAGGTTTTTCCCGCTTTGAGGTGGGGAGACTGTCCTACCGCAGGGGCAAGGGGTTGGAGAAAGGTGGTATGCAGAGCAGCTGAGTTTGGAGCTGCCGTGTGCTAGGCTGCGGTGGGGGAGTTATCGGGTATGGAGGAGGAAACCCACCAACAAAGCTATTTAGCAGGGCAGGTGGCTGTAGAAGAACTGCCCAGCTGGAGTTTCCAATGGGGCTGGGAGCAGAGTGCAAGCGATGGGGATGCAAGGCCAGCACGGCCACCTTGGTTCTCACACATGCTCTGCCATCTGCCTTTGTCTGGCACTGGTGCCCTCCCTCTTCCAAGAGCTGCTGACAGCTCCAGTTGAAATGCCTGTTTTCTATCATACAAATGGGCTGTGGCTGGAGACAAGACATAAGCATGAGCCCATAACACACAGGGAAGGACTTTGCCAGGACACATACCACCTGTGTGGCTATAATCTGTCTCCAGATCCTCCAGAGCTAGACCTGATTCTGCAATTCATCCAGTTTCCAGCCTTTACAGCACCTTTGCCACCAGGTTCCCTGGTTTGGTATGAGTAGCAGAAGGCTCTACAAGAGACTCCATGACTGGGGGCAAGTTGGATCATCTGCTCCCAGTTGCTGCAGTGGGCTGCTTAATGGGAGGCTTCCACCATGGCTTGTACTATGGGGAAGGGAGGGATGTAGGAATTTGCTTGCAGCTGCTATTTCCCAGCTGTGACTATGGGGAGAATGATACACGGGCCTGCCGGCAAGATGCACTGAGGCTTAGCGAGAGGAGAAAAATCTCTAGCCTGAGGCTCCTTTGATTTCCCAGATGCTCTCAGAGCCATTCAAGGTTAGCTCAGCTTTACAAAGCAGTCCTTTATCCTGGGGGAGAAATCATGCATAAATGAGTGTGGGGGGGGAAGATTACTGAGTCCTTTGTCATCTACACATGAGGCAATCTAAACTGAAGTCAGGGATGAGGATAAGCAGATTTTGACTTTCTTGGCTCCCTTAGCAGGTGGATGACACCAGCTTATACTTGGTTATGCACTTAGGACAAGTCTGCATGAGAGGACACGTGGTTTATAATGATGTAGCTTGTGGGTGGGAGCTACGGTGGTATAAAATCCTAGATGGTAGGTAAGCCAAGTTGTAATAGTTGGATGTGGCTGTTTTATTTTGAACCTTAGACAGTCCTATGCACTAATGGATCCCTTATGTGACTTAACCCTTATTCTCTGGACTTGGCCACTGTTTCTTAGTCTGAGAGTCAAATTGACCTTTCATGGGTCTGAAAGAAAGGGAGCTTCAGAAAGCTATTCCAGCGGCGAGTGGAGGCTGCCCCAGGCCTCATGAATTCTCAGGATGGTATTGCACGGCTGCTTTGGTAAAAGAGTAAAAGTTATCCAAGTGACTGAGGTCTTTCAAGAGTAGCAGAGTAAGCTGTTTATAGTTAGAATGAGTTCACCATGACTTTGGCGGTGGTCCCAAGGTGAAGGGGTGGCAGGACCTCACAGCAGTGCATCCCTTTCCTTGAAAGGGCAAGATCTGAGCATAAGTTGAAAAAGTGACTGTTAAGGAGTAGATTCAGCTATGCTGCCTTGGCTTCCCAAGTAGAGGGTCTGCCCAGGCAGGGAGATGCTGCTCTACCACGAGCAAGAAGAGTGCAGGCTCATGCTCTTGAGTGGCTCTTTCTTCAAACCCTGACCTCCCATCTTCTACAATATGATTGATTGAAAAGAAAGTCCTGGAGACCCTGCCTATAAGTCTAATCCAAAGCCCATCCAAAATGATAGAAAAACTACCTTTGATTAACGGTCTTCAGATAAAGCCCTAAACTCTTGTTGGCCAATGTCTGTATTTCATCCAGTGCAGGCTTTGGCCTTGGAAGGAGCTTCCAGCTGGATCAAAGACTTCCAGGACATAACTGGCAGCAGCTTTTAGTGACCACTTTTAGGTTCTTTTAGTATCTGTTCCCCTCTGCTCAGCTGCTGATTCCCAGCAGGTTTCCCAAAGAGCTAGAAAAATTAGTGGATTGCCTTGTGACAGAGAAGGGGAAAAATTGTACGGGGTGCATTTACCTGGGTCCTAGTTTCCACAGATCATGAGACACTTAGCTCCCACCTCCAGCAGCAATCAGGCTGGGCAGTGAGACCTCCACTCCCTCCATCCACTGTGGCAAAAGACATAGCCACGTGGGGCTGTATAGAAACAGGCCCAAGCTGCAGAGTTCTGCCCAGCTGATTCTACAGCAGATTTCAGCATCCTTGCACAGTGATTCCACGGTTCCTGGGATGTAGGTTTCTTGGTGGAGCAGCTACTCCGAAGGGAAGCCTGTGTTGAGCAGGGTGTTTCTTCCTATATCCTCTTGAATTACATACACACGTTTGGCCTGATCTGGAAGCCATTGAACATAGACTTCAGATCAGGCCTTTCTATGGCCAATGTAGGTGCTAAGGGCAATTGTTTAGTCAAAGTATGTGATCTTGCAAATATGTGCATGGCTTATTACTTATGTGTTCCAAGGATCAGGACCTTTGTAATCTGGTCTAACTGGGAATGGCAGCAGAGGTATGGAATGGGCCTGAAGATATAACATGGTGACAGTTTATCTTTCTTGCAGAGAAGAGGACACAAATCAAATCTCCCCAAGCTTTGAAGAACCCGGAAGCTGGCTGCAGATACCAATCTGGACTTTATCACAGGCCCTTAACCTTTTTGTGGGCTTACGGTGTCTCCCCTAAGAGCATAGACAAGCCTTGATTGTGGTGGATGCATACACAATCCTTTATTGAACCTAATGAACGGAGGCCTTTAGTTCCCATGTTAGCTGGTCACAGCCTGTTGTACCTGACCTCACAAGACAGGGATCGATCCTTCACAGCCCAACTAGATCTCTAGATGTGAAAACCTCAGACATGAATTAAACCCTACACCTTGAACTTGCCCCGAACTTCTGGTGTGCGCGCCAGAGAGAGTGAGCACCAAATGAGTAAAACTAGATAGAAGCGCATAATATTTTTGTACAACTATCCATTAAATTCACAGGAAATGCACTTCCCACAGCTGGAGGTAACGGGCAATTGTGCCTAAAAGCTGACTCATGAACAGAAGTGTATCATACGATTGTTTGCCAGCTAAATACAGGCAGTGATCATTGCAAATTGAATGATCAGCGTGATATCAGGTTACTCAAGATTACTGATGGGCAGGTGCTGGTCTCAGCTTCTAACAATAGGCCTGTAACAGGTTAATAGGATTTTCAGAAAAAAGAAAAAAGCAGACGCATTGCTGGCACTGAGAGAGTGGCGTAGAAACAGGACTACGGGGAGTTGAGAACAGTGTGCTTGGAAATGGTTTCTGTGAGGGGGAAAGCTGGTTCTTCAAAGCGTAAAAGGTTTTTCAGTAAAGGGCCTTCTTCAACACTGATCCTGATTTGGAAAAAAAAAAAAAAGTGAGAGAGAGAGGGCAGGAGCTGAGTGGGGGAGTGACCAGATTGTTCAAACATCAAATTTTGACATTTTCAAAACAAGGTTTTCCACTTTTGACAAGACAGTCAACCAGAATGACAGTCTGGTTACAAGATCTACCCAATTTATAGTAGGGGGGAAAAGCCCAATTAGGAAAAGGTCAAAATCAAAATGTTTTAATTGATTCCATTAATTTATTTCCCCTCTTTTTTATGGATTATCCATTTAAAAAAAAAAATTAAATTGACTTGTCATGCTCCTTTGAAGTGAGGAGATAAACTCATGCAGTTGTGCCAGTAAACGATGTCCAAGAAAATGGACTTATCTCGGGCCCAGCTCTCACCATTAACAAAGTATTGCTGCTTTTTTTACTTATAGTGAATTGCTTTATTTGTTGTGTGTGAATTTAGGAGCACGGGACAGTTTCTCCAAAATGTTGTAGTCTCTGAGCTGTGGAAGCAGAGATGTAATATTGCACACATGTATTTGCGTGATGAGCGTTATCTTGGACTAGACTTTGAAGACTAAAAAGAGAACAAGGAGAAAACATCAGATGTGAGAGGCCTGATTAGAAGGGCGACTATTCTAGATCCCACGGCCTCTGGCGTGAAAAACA